AAAAAAAAAATTGCCTTTCTTTCATAACATGCTTTCAGACTTCGCTCTAAGCATTATAATGAAACACAGGTCGACCTTAGTTACCCAAGGGCGAAGCAAAACATTAATGAAAAAACCGACAGAAAATACTATTCTTGGATGCAAGTAGGCCATGAACGGAACCGATAAGTTCTATCAAGGGTTTTTTGGTTCTATTCCTTTTTCTATTTTCGCTGACATTTTGTTATTTCTATATACATTAGTTAATTCTGTTTCGTTCTTACGTAACACCTAGGAAGAGATATTAGAAGTTATAGTCATCTTACTGCTTGTTGTTTGGCACGATACCAGCGTACGTAACACGCTCTGGTGTAAGCATAGATACATGTACGTAAACGGAAGCTCAGTCGAGCACAAACGCAAGTGTAAAGCAAGAAAGGGAAATCCGAGCAGTCTGAGAATAGGAAAGCTTTTTTCTATTTTTTTTTTTTTCTTATTGTGTGCGTTCATCCGTTAAACGTGTACACCGTGGTCAAGCGGTCAACCCTCTTGTTGGCCTCTTAAGGCTGGTTTATCTGCCGCCACGTACGACATAAACATCACAGAAAAGCATGCGCAATGTCGATTAAAATAGCACCGCGCCCACAAGGTACAAATTAACCACATCCTTATGTTTCCGCTCCAGTTGTATTGTGCAAAATCACGCATTAGTCGAAACCTCTCTAAAAAGTATTGATATAAGAGTGATTATATAGAGTAAAGTGACCTAACCCTTGAAATAGTATCAAGTGGTGCTCAGTTACTAAGCGAACTTAAAAGGAAATAACATGCAGTCGAACCTCCCGTAAGCGCTTACGGAAGCTGGAGCTTAGGCCATATTGGATCAAAAATTTTGCGTAATTAGTATATGGTAACTGCAAAGACTTACCCATGCTTTAATGCCCCTCTGAACAAAAGCGCACGCAAGCACGTAACTACAACTTTGAATCCGATAACAAACTGTTCAATAACAAACTGTCCGATAACAACTTGGCGAGTGAATTAGTGGGAAATAGGAGTTTCTTAAACCAATCACAATCAAGGAAATTGTAATTTTTATGATTATAGAAATTACCAAAAAACTATGTTTATACGGTGGACTATCCCGATCGCGGCGGGCTTTCCCGCCCTTGTTTGACGTCACGGATGGTCTTAAATATAACTTCAAGTATTAGTAATGGTATTTTTCTCGCAGATATTACCTTCGATATGAGATATTAGCTTTTTTAAAAAATCTGTATATAGTAGTCAAACATAATAGCCGTAGTATTCATATTTACAATATTTTATTATTTTACTCGCAGATATTAGCTTCCTAGCATCGCTAATTCCAAGAGGATGCAAAGAAACACAGAGAAATGATATAAAGAGAGTTTACAACCCACGTACTGTCTAACTCAAGTGGGATGCACGCGTAAATTACAAGCGTGAAGATTCCGAAAAGAGTTAAACCTGTCTCCTGTTAAGGAACTCAAGTATCCAGAGAGCGAAAACGCGATTCAGCTACATTGCTGAACGCGCAAGGATGCAAATAAACAGAGAGATTTGATGTAGTCGCGAAATTTTAATCCTTACTCTGACTAAATAGTGTGAGATCCAGGCGTAAAAGACACGCGTGGGGATGTTGTAGAGGCTTAACACCTGCTAGTGTTAAGGATCTTAAGGACGAAAAGAGACCGAATATGCAAGTGTGCCGCATTCTTATATTTAGGCGACAATACAATGGAAGAGAGAAAAATGATATAGCCGAGAATTTTTACTCCACGCTGTGTGTACGTCGAGCAAAGTCCACGCGCGACACACCCGGGAGAACCCGATAATATAAGGAAAGTTTACAAGCCAAGTACTGTCTAAATCAAGTGAGCTGCACGCGTGAAACACACCAGCAGATATTCGAAAAAGAGTTAAACCTGTCGCCTGTTTAGGAGGACTAACACCCGCTAGTGTTAAGGATCTTAACGACGACGAGACCGAAAACGCAAATGTGCCGCATCCTTATTAGCGCGACAATGCAAAAAAGGAGAAGAGGATAATATAGCTGAGAATTTGCACTCCACGCTTTGTGTAAGTCGAAGAAGGTCCACGCGTGACGTGCACTGGTGGAGAAGGGAGGCACGGCTAAAAAATGTCCCTGTTAAGGAGTTAGAAGATCCCGAGTCTAAAAACGCGACTGTGCCGCATCGCTAATTGCAAGAGGATGCAAAGAGATAGAAATAAATAGTAAAAAAGAGACTTCAGAATCCGCGTACTGTCTAAATCAAGTGAACTGTACGCGCAAAACACACGCGTGGAGATTGGGAAAACACTTAAACCTGTCTCCTGTTGATGAACTCAAGTATCCAGAGACCGACAACAGAATTGTGCCACATTGCTAAACGCGCGAGAATGCAAATTAACAAAGAGAAATGATATAGGCGCAAAATGTTAATACTTATTCTGATTAAATTGTGTGCTATCCAGGCGTAAAACACACTCATGGAGATGTTGCGGAGGGTTAACACCTGCTAGAGTTAAGAATCGTAAGGACGACGAGGCCGAAATTGCAAGTGTGCCGCATCGTTATTTGCGCGACAATCCAATGAAGGAAAGAAGAATCCTATAGCCGAGAATTTTTACTCCACGCTGTGTGTAAGTCGAGCAAGG